TATCATAATTCAATTCATAATAGCAGGAAATCAATCTATCTTTTATACTTCTGACTATAAAATAATAAAATAAAACCTAAAAATCCTAACCTATCTCAAACAATTAGGTTCTGACCCAATCCTGAAAATATGTAAAAGCTACCAGGTAAGCTAACAACTTAGTTACCAAAATCTACAACCACAATCATTGCAAGACAATGGAAACCGTATGCTTGAAATTTCTCAATCAATATCAGTTTAACATGTAGCAGTAAGAAAAAATGGGAATTAATAGAAACAATGTAATTTCATATGAACAATGAAAATCAATATAAACAATGTAATTTGTAATTGGTGATGAATATGTTATGCTATTCTTATACCCATCAGATTCAAAATAATTTATATATGACTTTACGTAGATCAGTACACCTATCACTAAGAAAATATTCACCATTCTACATCTATCATAAGCATGTCATACAATATATATGCTTGTGTGTTATGTTCTATATCCAATGTAATGTATATAATACAGGGTATCATGTATAACATGTAGTTCTCATGTATTATATGCATTTATATTAATCTTATTATATAATTATATTAGTCATATATTAACATATCTTGAATCATATTCTTATTACAGTACATCATATCATTTATGCAAGTTTTCATATATGTTCATGTTGTATGCATATACAAGCAATATAGAATATCTAGCAACCTGTGGCGTTTTCTTGTATAAAGCCCTGTAGACTAATCCTACATAAATAAGTTGTAATCAAATCAATCATGTTGTCAGGAATCAACCACTTATTATGTAAGAAAAGTCAGATGATTTTTATATAAGAAGTCACCATTAATTTATACATATCATATCATATCAGACAGTCTCCTTATACCTTTCTTTTTTTTTAGTCTCCTTATACCTTCATTTTCATGTTAGCGATGATTACACTATGAATCTTATTTAAATAAAAACTCATCGGGCCACCCTACTATATAGGATAACATGTCTCCATTCAACATGAATTAGCAAATAATTTTTACTCACCATTTATTTATTTTACACATTTCACATCATTTAGAACATACTAACAAACATCATATATGTCAAATTCAATTATCATTATACTCATTAGTATACATGTAATATGCCAAGGATGTATAGTTGACTAAGTGAATAATAAATATATGCATACCATGTATTTTATGTTTAAATACAATAAATTGGCTTGTGATCATTTTGTACTTAGTATTATACCACTTATTTCAATTAAAATGATATATATATATAGACACACACACACACACAAAATCACGATGTAAAATTTTAATGTTAACGAGTCAAAATGTTTGAGATTATAATATTCACCACATATCATAAGTTATGCGGTGAAAAATTGCTAAAATGAGTGATATTACATTTTAATCAATTTTATAGAGAAGAAAATAAGTAAAACACAAAATCACTTAAAATAGAGGTATCGTTAGAGTTACCTTCTTTAATCATAGCACTTTTTATAACTTGAGCGATAAAAAATATTGGCATGATGTAAACTTTTTCGTTCATTACTCATCCCTTCTCTCTCTTCCTTCACTCTAACAAAACCATGAAAACAAGAGATTTTGGGATAGCTCAGGGTTTATATTAAATAGAGTGGTTCATTAAGATATTTTAAAAAAATTACGAATCCATCGCCACAGAACTATAGATCCAGCGCCACAGCGCTTCCTCAAATTCCCAAAAAATTTAGAGCTTAGCGCCATAGTGCTCACTCAGCAAAATTTTAGAATTATAGGGAATTTAAATTTAAGGTTGTTAAACTTTGAGAGAGTATAATTAGATATGTTTTTTAATTAATTAAATTAAATTAATTATAAACTTGAATTAACTTTTGGATTAATAGATCGTACAATACGATTTAATTAATAGATAATTCAAGTATTCAATTTTCATCCCTCTTGTGAGTGCATTCTTGATTTTCTTGCTAGCATACACCTAATTACATAAAAGATTAAAAAAATAATACAAACTCTTATTATAATTTTAAATAGACTTAGCATTGCATTTTCTTTAGTTCGCTTCTTTGATCCAACTCTGTGTATGTTGCATTTGAAATGTTAGTAGCACACAAAATAAATTGGTAATATATGTAAGGCATAAAATAGTAAATGATTAAGAAAATAATATTTTTAATCATCAAAATAATAGATCGAGCTCCTTGAATTCAACAAATTCATGAGTACATTTCACCAAATCCTAACATATTTTAAAAGAGTATTATAACTCTTAAAAAGACATTGTCATATCATTGAATTGTCTTAGAATCCAAGCTTACATTATTACATTTTTTCTAATCAACATAAGCAAAACTCTTTAACGAAGAGTTTCTTAATAATATGATATATCCTTATAGCTAAAATAAACTCTATTTGATCCTTATATATTTCTAAGAAATTTTATATGATGCCATCTTTTTTTTATTCTCATAAGGAGGGGTTAATTTTCTATCTGTGACAATAAAATTTTTTCTTTACAGAAGTGATGTTTTTTTACCTTGTAACTCCACATTGATAAACATATATTGAATGGGAAAGGTTGGAAAATCAAACCAATTAAATACAAACTATTTGATATCCTTAATAATATTAGCAATAGTGCTTTGTAGTAAACATGGAGAATTAGAAGTCACTTTGACATTTTCATGCTACAATTAGAAGATAAGGGAGGAATACTGGTTATTATAGAAGAGAACTACGCTATATTGACAAAAAAACATGCAAACAATTTTTAGTGCTAGTTGATTGATCTTATGTAGGTGAACAACCTTGTCATATCATATTCAACTTGATTCAAATGACTGAATTGTCTCTTAAACATGAGGTATATGATTACGGTATTAAGAGACATATTGAGAGGATGCAATGAATGATAACTTAGATTTTCCCAAAATGATCGGACTGTTGTTGAGATGAATCCATAATAACAAGGATCACCCACCGTTGCTTAGCTCGGTTGGGTACCCTCAATCTACGTTTGTTTCCCTTCGAGCGACAGCGCCTCTTAAATGGGGCCCATGAAGTGCGTGTCAGGAGGTGGTCGGTTCCTTTTCTAGGTAGCCGAGGATTAGTCACGCCTCCAAGCACCTCTACGGGGGTGGCAGTGGGTGGATACCCCGTTCTAAAAAAAAACATCAACAAAGATCAATAAAGGATTAAAGAAGCCAAGAATACTTAAATGTCGAGAACACCAAATATTCATTAACAAATGATTTGTTGGTGAGTTACTTCACGCTAATAGTCAAAGACAACGTTGTCTTTCCGCATTATTATTGTTTAAATATATAATTTCTTATACTATATTTTAGTTACTTCATACTAATAGTCAAAGACAGCGTTGCCTTCCCGCATTATTATTGTTTAAATATATAATTTATTATACTATATTTTATGGCCATTTGTATCTTATGTAATGGGGTACTTGCACATAAATGCTATTGATACGGCATCACAAAATTATCTTGATCAGGCACGAATCTCGAGGCAAAAGCTAGATGAAAACTTCAAAAATTAATTTTGGGAGCACCTGAACTCCGATTTTAGCGAGCTTACAGTCAAACTGAGCGTCTTGGAAATATGAACCCAACGACACCAAATTCAACTCAATCCGAGTCCAAATAAGTCTGAATCAAGGACCCGAAGCGCTGTTGGAAGGTTCAAACCGCAATTTGAGTTACCAAACGGTCTCCGATTTTAACAAGCTTATACTCGAATCGAGCGGCTCGACGAGACAAATCCAAAAAGTCCAAGATCGCCAAATTCCAACATCATTAAGACTTCCAAATGTCCAATGAACGGTGCATAATCAAAGGATTCGATATCAGCCGTCCATTCAAATCACTCCCAATTCGCCCTTGATCTCACGCCTTTTTACGAGCCATGCCACTCCAGAAAAACTATAAATAGAGCCCTCATTCTACGCAAAGGGGACTCAAGTGAAGAGAGAGAAGAGGAAGAGAAGGAGGAGAAGGAAGAAGCTCTTCCTCGACCACCGTCGGAGCTCTTCCTGCTGCCTGAAGACGCCGGAACTCTGCCGGATTTTCGCGAAACGTCGGGAATTTGCAGAATTTTGTAACTTTGTGAGAAGTTGATTGTAAATTGATCGTCTTGATTTTTAAGACGGATCAAACTTTGTACTTCAAATAAATACCAGTGGAACTTTGCAACTGGGAGAGGCCCCGTGGTTTTTTCCCTCTTTCGGGTTTTCCACGTAAAAACCTTGGTGTTCACTTCTCTTTTCTGCTTGTGTGCTGAATACTCGTACAACGCTAGGACGCAAATTTACAAACTCTAACGCCGCGTATATTATAGCACACAACAGTTATAGAAGAATGCGATGGAGCTATGATGAGGGAATCTTTACATATAAGAGAGATAATTTTTATGTTTGAATCACTATAAGATAGAAAAAAAATAAATAATTCTGATTTTTTTAGTAATTTAATGGGTGCATTATCTTATAAGAAATAATAATTTTTTTATTTCAAGAAAGAATATTTCTCATAAAATTATAATAATTTTATAAGAAATCTAATTCTTTAAAATAATGAAATATTTTAAAGAATTATATTAAATTGTCTATTACATATATATTAAAGATTACGTTTAAAAAAAATGGTCTGTACATTATTTGTCTATTATATTATTTGGGATATTATTAATTAGGGGATTTACATATATATCATTTTATTTGATATTATTTACATATGAAATTTTAATATAATATTTTTATCTCTTATATACAATTTTAATATCAAATACATCACTTTTATATTTTATTCTTATCACTCATAATATTTTATAAATTTTAATATTTTATATTATGTATTGATATTTATTTTATAGGTGTAGATATGTAATATTAAAATTTTAGATATTAAATATGTAAATATGAAATAAAACGATATTTATGGAAATCCGCCGTTAACATCTTATTTATTTTCTCGGTGTTTCAAAATTGGTAAAACTGAAGGCAGATTCTTTGCTTCGTGTACTTTCCTTTTTCACCATCCATGCTTCATTCGTCTTCCCGAAACCCTAAATGCTGCATTTGCGATCAATCGAATACTTCATATACAGATAGGCTTCAGAAGCCTCTAGTCCAAGGAGCCCGCCATGGACGACGGAAGCACCACCGCCGCCAACGTCGCGGGAGCCATCGCCGTTTCACTTGACCCCGCTTCCTCTCTCGATGCCCGGAGAGCCGCCGTTGCTTACCTTGAATCCGTCAGCATTCTCATCCCATTTCCTCTTTCTTTCGGTTTTCATCTTGTGCTCTTTGACGCTGCTGAAAATTGCGACTTTTCTAGTCTTTGCCATCGAAGTGCAGTGACTGATATAAGTTCTTTTGGTCCGATTATTTCCTTAATTTTCTTTGACTGTTCGCGGGAGTTTCGCATGGATAATAATGGTTTTGTTTTTTAAATATTTTGACTCGACTCAAGTCTGATGTTCTGGTTTATTTGAAGTTACTGAACATGTTTTGAAAAACTATGAGTTTTGTAGGTTTTTTTGGTTGATTGGATGAATTTTGGATGGCCCAATAGCCCATTTTTGCGAAATTTTGAATTTTCCTAAAACTGGCGAATTCCTTACATGTGATGATGAGTAATTGTGTTTTTGACCTCGCCAACCTGTCCCTCAAGTACCTTGCCGCAAACAATGTCCTCACTTTCGCTGCCCTTGCTTCGTTGCCCTCAACTGTGCCTCATCTGATAGCCCCGTCGTCCTCACCATCCTCACTGCTCTCGCCTCTAACGTTCCTGCATCCGTCAACCTGACCTCCAACGTCCACATCCACCTTGCCTTTGTTGCTGTTTGTCGCTCTCACCTTCATGACCCTGTCACCCACGTGGAAGTGAGATATGTTTCTGAAATTCATCCCAACAAAGAAAAGTCATTTCATTGTATTTGATTTACATTCAACCACACAACTTCTTAAATTCAAAATACATTACATTTCTTTCACTTAAAATACATGTATTTTAAATACATCCAGCCATACAACCTCTTAATCTATAGAGGGAGGGAGGGAGACACATTTTTGTAATTTATTCCAATAAAAAAGGTACATTCAAACACACAACTTCTGAAGTTCAAAATACATTGCATTTATTTTACTTTGTGCATTTTAAATTCATCCAATCATACAACCCTTTAAGCTATTGAAAATTATTTTTGTTAATGATTTGTCTTATGAAACTTGGATGTGCGTGCATGTGTGTGAGAGAGAAATTACATTTCTTTTACTTTACATTTATAAAAAAATATGCATTTTAAATACATCCAACTATACACCCCCTTAATCTATTGAAAAGTGTTTTTGTTGTGTTTATTGTTGCTTATTTGTCTTGTAAAACTTGGATGAATCATGCTAAAAGGAATGCGTGTAACATAAGTAACTAAAGATTGTCTAATTGGAGCTTGCTATCAATTTGAAAACAAAAAAAAAAAATGAAATGCATTTTAAACTTCTGAAGTAGGCATGTTAGAAACAAAGTTTGATATTGGTTTTCATACAAAATGACATTTTAATGCTAGTTCTACTGTTTAGCTGAGCAAAATTCTGTTGTGTCAGACTTGTTTTGGGAGTATATTGTGTGATTTCCTTGTCTGCTATGTTTGGAGAAAAGGAAATAGTTCATATCATGGCATTCTCCACCCCTTTTCTTTGCCAAATTAGCATGGCATGGCTATATTAGATGCATTGATCAAAGTAGTACTTTGAATCATGTTGTTTTCATCGCTGATTTATGATATTTGTTTTGGTTAAATGAATTTCTTATAAGAATAATGTGTTAGCATGAAAATGTAAATCATTTATTTTTTGATGGACTTGAAAATGTCTCACATGACTTTGTTATATTTTATTTATTCAAAACTTTAGTGTTGCATCAGACAGTTATCGTTTCATCGGACGCTTATTTGTTTAGATTATAGATTGAAAAGATATTATTGTTTATTTCTAGTATGAAGCCTCAAAATGGTTTTATGTACAAAAATATACTTTTTTACTTTCCAACGGATTATGTTATCAAACCCGCGAAAACAGTAATTTGAAGGACACTTTTATACATGTTTGTTTTTCATAGTTACATTGTGTTTTACCTTGTCCATTTATATTTTACAAAACCTACTAACATGAGATATTGAATGAGATGGAAATAGAATTTCCTTAGGGTTCTTTTATTTTTTTAAAAATTTTGAATAAAGAACAAAACCAACACTTTGTTTTGTTGGTAGCCAAGATGTTAGTTTTGGAGAGTCCAAGCCACCTTACGAAATGGCTGTATTGTAGTGTTTTATAGAGGCTATTAGAGGGGTATTGTTGAAGGCCGTGCAGTGTAATGTCATAGAGAGGGTGTTAGAGCAGTATAATTGATGGACTATGTTAAACCTTGGAACGACTGTGTATCTTTTTTCGCTTCCTTCCCTACATTAATAAAATTAAGATGACTATTGATCTTCTTTTTAAACTGTTATAAATCAATTTCATTATCAAAGCCTTAGCCCTATCTTTTTTGATGAAGATAAATCTCTGCTTCACAGGCTTTTGATTCCCTAATTTCCAATTTCAGTTAATCAGAGATAGCAGTCTCCGTCATTAAGAAGCTCTATTGAAAGCTTTTGGTTGGCCAAAAGTCAAAATTGTTGTATCTTATCAGTTGATTTGAACAACAAAATGAAGATTAGATTGATGATTTCCTTCTTCTTTTGACCTATAAAGATACTACGCTTTTTAGCACTTCAGACAATCATGAATTTTAAAAGAACAATGGTTTGGAGGAATTTTAATTATAAGCCACTCAACTGAGGTTAATGATATGAATATTTTCGGAGCTATAAGTCCCAAATGATTATCATCATCATCATCACAAATGGCTTTATCCCAACTATTTTGGTGAAATTATAAATGCTATATGAAATTTCACTTGAATTTATTAATGACATGTTTAATTTGCAAGTTGGTTGATGTATGGACTATGGTAAAAGTAATTCATGTAGAATATTTTCAGATGTTTGGTAGAATGATAAGTGGGAGAGTTTAGTTTTTATTGAGGCTCCTTAAAGCTTATTAGCAAACTTCTGTACAATGTAAATTATTTTACCCTTTCTTTACCGTATTGGATCTTCAAGAAGCCAAGCACCCTTTTGGTACCTTAGCAGTAACTTCATCCTAATGCAAGTAAAAATTGTATAATGTTTTTTCTAGTTATCTATTTTAAATATTTTTCTGCTCTACAGGTAAAAGGTGGTGATATTCGTGTTTTTGCAAACACATCCCTACTTTTGATTCAGAAGGATTGCTCTTCTGAGATTCGGTTGCATGGCTTCAAAATGTTACAGGTGTTTTTTTTTTGGCTGCAAAAAGTTGGTAATTTCTAGATATTAGTTGACATTGAAATTGGTACATCCTATTGATTGCATGAATGCCAAAACAAAATTAGTATATATCATCAATCTTTTCTTAGTACAAATGTTGGCTCTTTCATTCTTTCCTTACTAAAAGAATTTCCTACAGGAAATATGGTTTTTATACATGCCTCTTGCAACTTAACTTTTACCAGTATGATTCTGACTACATCTATATGAAATTTTAGTTAACTAAAAATTCATATATATTCATGGGTATTCGGAATACATCTATATGAAATTTTAGTCAACTAAACATTCATATGTATTCATGGGGTTATAAGAACCTGCCATATTTTCTTCTCTATTTAGTTACTTTGTTAGTTATAATTAATTTTTTGATTAAAAAGTATGTTGCTAAATGTTCTCATTAAAAGAAGAAATTAAATATATATATATATATATACACACACACACACACGACATGTCACATCCCATTTTGGCCCCCCCCCCTCATAGTCAACTTGAGGTGTAACAGAGACAGACAATCCAATCAGATAAACTTTTCATTAATACCCATTATGAATTACCTTTCTCAGGATCGAGTGTGTAGAAAATTGATTAAATATTCAGAAGCATGTACACTATTCATAAAATAAAATACAAAGATTTACTATATAAACTTCAAATAAAATTGTACATACTCAAAATCTTTAATTTACAGTTTATTTAATCTATCTTTTATCTACTTTCAAAACTATACATACAAAAGGACTATGTATAAGGTGCATATGATCGTCTGCCTTAAGTCTCATTGGCTCTTTTTCCTTATGACGACGACAAGCTTTTACGTAATAGGTCGTCACCTTCCCATCGGCTAACCATTTAATAATGGCCCTTTCCTTTAAGGTTGAATTCCAACATACAAACTTTTTTAGAAGAGAGTCAAGTAGCTCTTTTACGGTCTCTTTTATGAACAGTGCATTAGCCCAACTGTTTATTATTATTTTTTTTCATCCTCAACTTGTATATCATGTTAAATATTATTATTTTTCTTATGTCTGCAGCACTTAGTTCGATTCAGGTGGCATGAATTTAACATCCAAGAAAGAAGCGAGTTTGCTAAAGTTGCTTTTAGCTTAATAATGGAGATGGCTAACCCTCTTGAGGAATGGGCTTTGAAGAGCCAATCAACAAGCCTTGTGGCAGAGGTGTTTACATATTGAATGGTTATCTTTGGCGCTTGTGAGAATATTATTTTGTTGCTCATGGAATGTGCACCTTTATTTCTTGTCTTTTTGCATGTCAGGTGGTTAGAAGAGAAGGTGTAGTTCTTTGGCAAGAGCTGCTGCCATCTTTAGTTTCTTTGTCGAACAAAGGGCCTGTGGAAGTATGATTATGATATTCCTCAACAAGTTTGGCTTTCTTCTGTTGATCATCGCTTAAGCTCCTGATGTAGCAGTGCTTCAATTAATTTCTCTTTATAATCAGGCTGAGTTGGTTTCTATGATACTGAGATGGCTTCCCGAAGATATTACAGTGCATAATGAAGACTTGGAAGGTTTTTCTTAAACTTTTTTGTAATAACATGCTTCGATGTGTTCTTGAGCTTGAAAATTACCACTCTTTGATCATTTGATTTTTACATGATATTTACGGAGCTCTAAGCGCAAATTTGCTGGAGGTAGCACAACTAGTTGCATTATATCGGTATATTACAATTGATTGTTTTTTTTTAATAAAGTATATAGGTATTTTCTCTCAGTATCAACATCTGAAGTTTGTCAATGGTTGTATGGGTATGAATTGCTCAGGTTGGAGTGTATCTAAGAGACTGACAGAATCATGTTAGTAGAAGATAATACATGTTCTGTGCACAGTATAGTCCAACATATTGATGCAGCACAGGAAGTTTTTGAACCAACTAAAAGGAGTCAGATCAACAAGAAGACTGGATACATTACTAGGAGAAGACTATGAATTAAAATATTTATCTGAGATTTCAATAATTTTTTTGTTATAATTTTAATTTTTCATGCTTTATGTATGTGTCTTTATTTCATAAACTTGTAGAGAAAATTTCAAAAATTGATATTTGTTGGAGTTTGAATGTTCAAATCAATAGGAAAATTATTTAATCATGGAATAATTGATTAATTGCATGCAAATAAACAATTTTATTAAAATTTTCATGCATTTATGGCTTGCTAGGAGAGGGAAATAATTCCGTCAATCCAAAACAAGGGGGCTGGCCCCACTCTTTGTCCATCCTTCACTTTCTGTCCTATTTACCATTAGAGTTTTTATTTGAAATATTTATATGTTGATTAGCCGAATGAAGAGGATTATTGCTTTTGAAGAAAAAAATTGGAGTTTTCAAAGAATGTGAAAGCTCGGCGTTCGACCCATGCAAGAGGATATTTGGTGATTTTTCTTAACTTACCTCTTTGGCCATCGGTAGGGTTATCTTATTTTCATGCAATCTTTCAATTTCTTGCTGTAGGATTTTTGGTCTCATCTCCCTCTATTTACTCACAAAGTTCTCTCAAATTTTCTCCTACAAAATCCTAGCCTAACTTCTCCTTGAAGTGGTCGGCCAAGGGCCTCTCCGGCAGGACCTAGTCTTGTTCCATAGGCCCCTCGACTCCCTTAAACCTTTTAGAAAATTGTGAGAAGCTTCAAATCTAATCTAGAGACATTCTCCTATCACCTATAAGAGTTTTCCCAAAATTTTCCTAGACCTAAGCCCCTAGCCTAAAGCCTAAATTCTCACCTAAAGTTGGTCATATTGGGTTGCATAACCTTGTCTTGTTATAAAATCCAAGAAAAATGTCTAAAGGCCACCAAATTTCTTGAAACTTTCTAGATCACATCTAGACGCACCTGCCTAAATTTTCTGTGTTTTGAAGCCCTAGAGGAACCTAGATTCTCTATACAAAAAGCATAAAATCAGTTCTATGATTTTCATGCTTGGGATCCACCTTCGCTTGGCTGACACCCTTATGCAAGAAGAACACTAATGAGGAATGCCATCAAATTTAATCTTTTGCCAGTAGCTAATAGATTTGTAGCCAATCTAAGTTTCTTTCCTTCAGGGAAGTAACGTCCAATTTGACCAGTACCCTAGGCATTGATGGCATAAATAGTCTAACAGTAGCAACATCCACTTGAAAGGAGGATGATAACTTGTGCTTATAAGTTAGCAGGCTTTGGCGAAATATTTGGGTAAATGATAGGAGTCAAGTAGAGGAACATGATTTTTATACCCCACCCAACAATCTCAAAAAAGGATCAGGGATCACAAGTACAGGGGAGATCCCACAGAGAGAGAAACCTTAGAAATGGTAGCAGCCATCGGAGGAGCATCACAATGTGATCATACATGAGTAGTCAATGAAATGACAGGATAGATACTTTGTGAGAGGGAGTCATGAGAGGAAGTGAGGTGGTATGATGTCGGAAGCTTGAAGTAGAGCATAATTGAAAAAGTTTGGCTAGACCGAAAAGCAAGGGTAATAGAGTAGGTGTCAAGGTCAAGCTCCAATGCAAAAAGCTGTGTTGAATAGGCGTTAGCACATTATCACCTAGATGCGCATGATTTCAAGAATGAAAATGGAATGCTGAGCAGCAGGGGTGAGTTTAATGATACAAGCAAGTGAGAACAATGAGAGAGTGTGCTGAGCACCAAGCTTAGAGAGCATGCAGAAGTAGCAAGTCACAAGGATGATTTAATCTATTGTGATAAGAGTTTCTTCATCCATTTGATATCATAAATCTTAGATCCCTTTATTTGAATCCATAAAAGTTTGATAATTTTATTTAGTTACTTTTTACTCCCTTTTAAGGCATACTAGATCTAAAGTTCACATAAAAACACAGGTAATTCTAAACAAATATTAATCTATGTTTAATATTTTGTTAGTTAACTCACATGTAATATAACCTAGCGTTTTTTTTTTTTGAATTTATTATTATTACATATAAACATTTTTGACATCTGGTATCAATATTATTCTGAGTTTATGGCAGGTGATCGTAGACGGGTATTATTACGTGGACTGACAGAATCCTTGTCGGATATTTTACCACTTTTATATTCTGTACGTCTCATCAACTATTTCTTTACCTCTATACTGCTTTGATCTCCTGCCCCTGACCTATTCTGGGGCCAAGCAGATCGCAAAGTCACCATTCTACATGGCCATAGTGGTGTTTTGCTTTATTCTATAATTATTGAAGAGAACTGTGTCAGAATGCTTCGTTTCTTCTTCTGTTTTAGGCTTTATTTAGCACGGCTTTTTTGTTGCTTCTTAAAACAGTTTTTTAGTATAAAAATAAAAAATTTTATACTAGAAAGCTGCTTTAAGAAGCAACAAGAAAGTCATCCCAAACAAAGTTTTAGTTGATGCCAATTGTGCAATTTATTTTTATGATGCAGTTACTTGAAAAGCATTTTGGAGCTGCTTTGAGTGAATATAGCAATCAACAACTAGATGTAGCTAAGAAGCATGTGGCTGCTGTGACAGCAACTCTAAATGCCATAAATGCATATGCAGAATGGGCGCCCTTGGCAGACCTTGCCAAATATCACCTTATTCTTGGGTATGCTATTTTACACTTTTCTATTTAACTTTTGTTAGTTGGGATATAATTTTCTCGTTTTGTTGGACAGATGTGGGCTATTGCTTTCTTCTCCTGAATTTCGCCTCCATTCTTGTGAATTTTTCAAACTCGTGTCCCAGAGGTACATTAGTATTTGGTCTTTCAATATTAATTTGCAAATTGACAAACTTATTTTCTGTGAGCTTCCAATTTTACAGGAAAAGGCCTCACGATGCAACTGCATCTGAATTCGATTCTGCTATGGTTAATATCTTCCAGGTCTTGATGCAAGTTTCTTGCAATTTCTTAAACAAGTACGGGATACAAGCTGCCATTGCTGATGAAAGTGAATTTGAGTTTGCTGAGCGAACATGTGAGAGTATGGTGGCGTTGGGTACTTCACACAGGCAATGCATTGCTTGCGATGAGAATATGACCTCTCAGTTTCTTCAACTGGTGATCACTGAAGATAATTTCTAGATAGCTTGAAATTTGTTCCTGTTTTTTTTTTTCCTTTTTTTTTTTCTTTTCAACAATCAACCTTTGTTTGGGATTATGGCGTTTCTCCAATAAACACAGCTGATTACAACTAACCCCGTGAAAACCCTTTGTAGGAACACATCAGACAATAGTAGTTCTAATATACCATTGAAAAAATCTAATGAAAAAATTAATCAAATACTTGAAGAACATTTATTTTTATGGACTCAGAACTGAAGTTGAAGTCTTCATTGGCTCATTAGCTTGATCATCGGGGAAATTAGACTACACAGTTGAAGATAGGCATTAATCACTTCGAGAAGTCCTCATGATGTGAAACATAATCGGAATTGCACAGAGAAATAATAAGACAACCGAATAAGCAAGTCAGTATAAAGATTAACGAGTTACAATTAATGATTTAATGAAATCTCAATTGCAAAGTTGCTTAGGCAGTGTTAAAAACTCTTTAGGCAAGACAATTTAAAACAATAACAAACATGCGAGTAATGACAAATGCACTTTAACAATAATCCGTGGGTTAATATTTAGAAAAGTCACATTGAGTTTCCCTCTCTCAAGCTTTCTTGCAGTTAAAGGAAAAAAAATATTAGCAATACTGATGTGATCATCACGAGGAAGAGGGAGCTTAAAATACTGTCCACGGGAAAGCTAGTCAGAGTTGGAGGAGTCGGTGGAAGGTGTAAGAGTTGCCACTTGGATGGAAGGTAATATTCGTCGATGGCGGTTGATAGAGAAAATAGTATCTGATCCATGAAATCTTCAATAGTGGCGTCGAACTCTACGTTGACGTCACGGAAAGGCGATCTCAAAACGTCCGCACGTCCTTTGGAATCAAAGATGAATCTATGATCAACATCCGGATCAGCCATGCATAGTTGTCCAAGAGAAAATGCATGGAGGGAGAGGAGGAGGGGGTCGGCCAAGCTAAGGGGAGGAGGAGAAAACTAAAATCTGAAATTATTTTCAGATTTAGTGAATAATTATGGATTAATCTCCTTTGAATTTTGAATTTGAAATAAGTGGAGATTAGGAGGGAAAGTGGGGAGGGGATTGAATTAATTAGATCCTTAATTTATGGGATCTAATTAATTAAAGGGGGAGCTTGGGTGGCCGGCCAAAGAGAGAGGAAGAGAGAGGGGTTGGGTTTTAATGAGGTGGGTGATAGGAAATACTTGAGTTCGCAAGTAACCCTAAGGAATACTTGAGTCCGCAAGCAAACCTGATCACAATTGGAGTGGAAAACAACAGGAAAACTGCTGTTTTCAGCAGTGGACAGCAGCCAATCATAGGGAAAACAGCGAGAAAGCTGAGAGAAACTCAAGTAAAGACTTTGTATTTCACTAGTAGATGAATAAAATCAGCAATGATACAATTGTTCTTCAATTCGAGAGGAAGAACAACTCTCCAAATCTCCGGCAACGCCAAGAGCCCAAAGCAAGAAAACCTAGATCTCAAATTCAAGATTCCAATTCCAGATCATCCCCCTTTCCCTTCTAATCCCCTAATTAACAATAATGGAGAAATACAAAATACATAAACAACCCTTCCATTCAAAAATTTTCCCTCCCACCCTTGCATTAAGCCCACGTGAGCCCCCTTGGATTTCCGCCCTCCTCTGTCCCGTGTTTCTTCCGCCGGGTGTAGACCCGGACCGGTCTAGCCGGCCCTGGACCGTCCCCTCATTGGCTGGCGTAACATTACTCACCTCTCAAAAACTCACATTGTCCTCAAGGTGAAAGGAGGAGAATTGCTCTTTCACTCTTTCAAACGGCTCTCAAGTCGCGTCGAAATCAGGGAGGTCATTTCATTGAATCAACACTTCCTTATTGCCTTCTTGATCTGATCTTACCCCCATAAGCTCCAGGGGTTCTAACATCACTTCCCAATCCTCCGTCATTGTTGCTGGTAACTCGGCGCTAACTGCATGCTCCCCTAGAGCTCTCCTTAGCTGTGACACATGGAACACCGGATGTATGGTAGCGGAGGGGGGTAACTTCAGACGATACGACATTGCTCCAATCTTCCCCAAGATCTCATAGGGACCAAAGTATCTCGGGGCCAGTTTCTCGTTCCTCCTGCTAGCCACTGATTTCTGCCTATAGGGCCTTAGCTTCAAGAACACTTTCTCCCCCACTTCATATTGTATGTCTCTTCTTTGTGTATCCGCTCGCTTCTTTATTATTTGTTGTGCCCTCTCCAGATGTTTCTTTAACTCTTCCAGCACCCGGTCCCTCTCCTCTAAGTACTGTTCGACTGAAGAGACGGGTGTGTTTCCCTTCCCATAATGTACTAAGTGCGAGAGGTCTCTTTCATAGAGCACCTTGAAAGGCATCTGGGACGCCAAATGGTACGAATTGTTATACCAGTACTCCGCCCATGACAACCAATTAACCCACTTTCGTGGTGTTTTAGAAGCAAAACACCTCAAATATGTCTCCAAGCTCCAGTTAACCACTTATGTTCGTCTGTCTGTGGATGGTACATGGTGCTTCTCTTGAGAATTGTGCTCTGCATTCTAAAAAGTTCTCTCCAAAATTGACTGAGGAACACTTTGTCTCTATCCGATACAATCGATTCTGGAATCCCGTGTAATCTAACCACTTCCTTGATAAATGTCGCCGCCACTGATACTGCGGTGTAAGGGTATCGTAGGAGGATAAAATATGCATACTTATTGAGTCGATCCACCACGACTAAAATGACTGTGAACCCTTCTGAGCGGGGTAGGCCGTCGATGAAGTCCATAGACACTTCCTCCCATACTCTGTTTGGAAGTGCTAATGATTGGAGTAATCCTCTTGGTGCCATTGCCATGTACTTATTTCTCTGGCACACGTTACACATTGCCACCATCTCCTCAACATCCTTATACATCCCCTTCCAGTAAAGCTCTGATGCCAACCTCTTATATGTCTTGTGTACTCCTGAATGACCCCCAACTGAACTGCCGTGGAATTCCTGCAATTGGTGAGGAATGTGTACTGATGTTCGTGGCATCACAAACCTTCCCTGGTATAATAGCCTCTCTCCCTCCAGTGGTACCCTGAATGACTGCTACTGTCCTTCTGCAAACTTTCCCCGATCTTCTTCAACTCTTCGTTCTGCATGCTCTCTTCCTTGATGGCCCCGCAATCAACCATCAGGGGTACTGAAACTGTCACCTCCTGATGTTCCCCCAAACACCTAGATAAGGCGTCTGCTACCTTATTCTCCACCCCAGGCCGATACTGGATCTCAAAATCATAGCCTAACAGCTTTGAGAACCATCTCTGATGCTCCTCGGTCACCATACTTTTCTCCAGCAGGTATTTCAGACTCCTCTGATTTGTACGAATAATGAAATGCCGACCTAACATATAAGGGCGCCATTTCTGAATGGCCAAGACTATGGCCATCAACTCTCTCTCATACACTGACTTCAATCTAGCCCTGATCGATAGCACCTGACTGAAATATGTTATAGGCCTGTGATTCTGCATCAACACTGCTCCTAAGCCATATCCCGACGCATCAGTCTCCACTATAAAGATTTGATTGAAATATGGAAGAGCTATCAATGGTACTGTCGTCATAGCTTTCTTCAACCTCTCAAAAGATTGTGTTGCCGCCTCTCCCCATAGAAAGTTGTCTTTCTTCAGTTGCTCAGTCAAGGGTCAGGCGATGATGCTGTATCCCTTCACAAACCTTCGGTAGTAGCCAGTCAATCCTAGGAAACCCCTCAATTCCCTTATGTTCCTAGGCATTGGCCATTTCTGCATTGCCTCGATCTTTGACTGGTCGGCCTCCACTCCCTCTTCAGAGACCACATGCCCCAAATATTCCACCCTGGACTGGGCGAAACTGCACTTCTTTAGGTTAGCCTTCAGCTGATGGGCTTGTAGGATCCTAAGAACCTCCTTCAAGTGCTCCTCCTCCGTTCGACTGTACACCAAAATGTCATTAAAGAAGATTAGCACAAACTTCCTCAGATGCTGACGGAACACTCTATTCATCAAGGACTGAAAAGTAGCCGGAGTGTTAGTGATCCCAAACGGCATCACCAAAAATTCATAGTGCCCCTCATGCGTTCTGAATGCCGCCTTCTGAATGTCCTCCTCCATTCTGATTTGGTGGTAGCCAGACTTCAGGTCCATCTTGGAAAATACTACGGCTCCGTTCAACTCATCTAGTAACTCATCGATCACTGGAATGGGAAATTTATCTGGTACTGTCTCCTTGTTTAGCGCCCTGTAATTCACGCAAAACCTACAGCTCCCATCCTTCTTTTTGATGAGTAAGACAGGACTGAAGAATGGACTCACACTAGGTCTGACAATCCTTGCCTCCAACATCTCCCTGATCAGCTTCTCAATTTCTTCTTCGTGAATCTGAGGGTAGCAGTAAGGTTGAACACTAATCGGTGACACCATGTCCTTCAGAAGAATGGCGTGCTCCTGCGCTCTGGGTGGTGGCTAGCCTTGTGGCGGCTGGAACACCTCTTTGAACTGCTGTACGAGTGGTTGCACTACCAGTGGAATGTCTCCTTCTTTCCTCACAACGACCCTCTCCAAGCTTTGCAGCTCCATTAAGTATCCCCCTCCCACCTCCTGTATGGATCTAATAATGGATTTGAGAGATAGACCTGCCCTAGATAGCCTTGCATCACCCTGGATCATCATCCTCTATCCTTCCACCATCAGTTCCATCCTCAGAGCGTCCCAATTGACTTTGGTCTCTCCCAAAGTCTGAAGCCATTTCATCCCCAGGATGACATCGGTACTCCCCAACTCTAAGGGAAGGTAATCCTCCCTTACTTGGATCCCTTGAATGGACAATACCACTCCCTTGCAAACTCCTCTCCCCATCTCCACCTTCCCCGTGCCCATCATCACTCCATATCCTCCCGTGTCCACTAATTTCACTCCTAACAGATGTACAATCTAGTTAGAGATGAAATTGTGTGTGGCTCCACT